ACAATCTAATTAAAACCAATTCTAATAAATTATAATAAGAATTTTAACACCTTTGACACACCAAATATTTTGACGTAGTCTATATGTTGTCAATAAAAACACGATCAAACACAGTCATGGATTTTTGAAGGTTTGTCTTTGATAGAATTTTCATCTTGTCAGATTTCAGATTACTGTCAATTTGAAAGTTTGTGTTTGAAGTACAACGATCAAATCTTTAAAAATCCATGGCTGTGTTTGATTGTGTTTTGTATTCTCTTTTCGATAGATAATGCACTGTAAATTTAAAATAATTAAACAAAACAAAACGTAATAGCAAAAAAAAATGTTGTAAAAGTTGCCAACGAAAGCCAATTAAATTTTATTCGTTAAATTATTGATATGTTGTTTATTATTAGTTGAATTTATTACAATTTCGTCCCCTTTAACAACTTTCGTAACAAGTTTTATGGTATTATATAAATTTTGATTTTTTTTCTGTTCTGACATTTACTTTATAGGTATAAAAATATATATTACATTGTCAGTTTGAGACATCGTCCATATAAATAAAATTATCATAAAAATGGGTCAATTAAACAAATTTTTTTTAATAGACTTATTAAACTACATACAAGTGAAGACACATGTTGTGTTTCTGTTTCGAGTGAGTTTCTCCCAATAAAATTTTCTCATGGCGTCAAGTATACTAATCTAAATAATAGTAGTGTACTACTAAAAACGGTACTAACAGCATTTTTCCACTCGAGACAAATAAATAAATATTATTAAGCCATTTGTTAAGTTTACAACAACCTTAAATCATTTTCAAGATTTTAGAATAATCGGTTTTGTAGTTTCTGTTAAAAAATTGTATAATTTTCAATTTTTGTCCTAAAATCTAGAAGTCTGCGGTAAAAAATAAAAGCGGATTAGCAAATCACAAGTAAAGAAATATTATTTTGTAAGATTCAGATAGGATTTGCTTTGCAAAATTGTAATAATAAATATTATTGTTAAATTTTTTTTGAAGTGTTTTGAAGATTATCACACCGATGGACCACAGATCGCCGATAGACAGACAGAAACTTTTTCATATTCTAGGAACCACGAAACGTTTAGAAACCATGAAATGGACCATGCGCCAAAAAGACCCTATTACAATAATTTTTTAATATTTCGCACATTGATTGGAAAAGGAAACATTATTAGCAAACGTAAAACTAATTTCCACAAAAGAAGGTGTAAAATGTAAATGAACGGTAAATTATCTTTTAAAATTCAGGTAAACGCCACAAACCCTCATGTAGGAAACGTTACCCATCCTAAATTAGGCAACAGTATTAAACAGATTAAAGCAAAACTTATGTATTCAGTTATTTTTATCCAAGAAATTTATTTAATAACAGTATATACATATATCAAGTAGAATATGCAAAACTAAAATTTTGATAGTAATTGGAGTGAGTATTTGATATCGCTAATGGGAAAGTATCATTTGACTTTTGACTTTATTTTCTTTTATTATATTTGGAGAATTAATCGAAGAAAAGTATTGTAAGCATTGTGAAATTTTTTGATTTCCTGACTCTTTATAAATTACAGAATACAAAAATTCGGCTGCTTCCTTCTGTCTGCCTGGCTTCTGGTTGTTTACTTATTTCTTCCTTCTAAAAAAAGTTGCTAGCGGGTTCTTAAAATTTTGTTATGAATAAATATGATTCTAAATGCATTTATTTATTTACCTATTTTTAACAAAAGGATAAGTGATATAACAATAAGATAAGAAACTACACACCGGAGTTTTTTTAAATGTTGGTAAAACACTGGAACTGATTTAATGATGATTAAAGAATTATAATTTATTTATTCGTCCCTCCAAAAAAGACAAAGGTTTAGTACGAAATATACTTGAAATGTACCATAGTTTACGCTTTAGTAATACGATTTTAGTTTCTATGTAGTTATTCAGGACGTGTCAATAAAATAAATTATTTAAATTATTTCCAATTTTCTTAGAAGTTATTTTACTGGTTGTTTAATATTCTACTTTGATTTTTGTTAGCCATCGCCCATATTAAAATTAACATTTCTAAATACAAGTTTTTGTGCATTTTTATTTAAAGTTTATTAAAATGGTTAGTAATGTTTTGAACTTTCTACTTTGTGAGATATTTTTACTTTCCAAGCTTAAACTAGGGTTTTCTCGAAGTTTCATAACCTCTATTAGAGTATGAAAAAATAGGTTTCCTGTTTCCGTATGTCTGTCGTTTGTCTATATGTCCGTCGTCGGTAGTGTGTTGACGATTTAATTAGATAATAATTTCCGAAACTACTGGACTGACTATTTTAAAATGTCAGATGTATTTTAAGGGCACTGTGTAGATGCCGAAACGGTAACCAAAATTTGTCTGATCGTTGCCGTCATTTTAAAATTTTGATAAGTAAATCGAGGGTATCAGATGAAAATTCAAAACAGAGTTACAATTATTTAATCAATTTTTACGTACTAAGTTTTACCCACAAAGTAAAACAAAAAATATGGTACTGAATATAAGTAAAAGTAGTTTTCTAATTTTCGTCAATTATTGGCCTTTCGTTCCATACCCTGTTTAAACCTATGCTGTTTTACATACTTCTCTGATTTACAAATACTCCTTAGACATACACATTTTTGGAAAAAAAATTAGATTATATAACAAAATCTTACAATATAAACTAGAAACTACAAAGTCGGATAGTCTGAAATCTTGCAAACATTTTAAGGTTATCATAAGTATGGTAAACCGCTAATCGAACTTTATACTTATACTTAGGTATCCCCTCAAAAAACTTGATGCAGGCGTTTTAAAATTTTGGCCAGTAAACCCTTTAAAATCTCCAAAATCGCGCCAAATTTAAAATCTCGACAATTTCAAAGTTATAAAAACACGAATCTTAACAAGTTTATTTGGAATAGTAAGTGTTGCCGATGAAATGAAATATCTTCTTGACAACTACTCTTTTGTTTCGAATTACGACACCACCGTACAGCACAGCTCACTGGCTTTTTGGTTCAAAGTTAACTTTTAATATTTTAATTTATTAAATACTATCGTAACAAACACGACACGATTGGCAATATATGCCAAGAGCTAGGTTCAATAAACAAAACAAAAAAATAATAATAATAATAATAATAAGCCACACTCAGCACCCAACAAACAGACGTTGCTACTACTGACTAGAATTTAGGGTGATAGCGGGTCTATACATATTTAAAGTCTCTGGTGGACACTCTCATAAAATTTTATTCTCGGATTATGAGGGGTTTCAAAGGACGGGCTCTATCGGTTACCTGTTATAGATTTCAGTAAACCAGAAAAATGGCTAAAGTTTGTTTGACCACAAATTTTAAATATTCTGCCCCTGTTTATTCAATTATTTATTAAGATATTTTACTTCTGTAAAACGCAATGGATTTTTAATACAATTTCTACTAATGTACCTTTTTGCCACCAGATACCAGATAATCTCTTACTCACTACAATTTTAACGCGTTGTAGTTTTTTTTGACAACAAAATTTAAAAAACGGAAAAGCAATTTGGGTAGGGTTTTTTACGCTCATTTCAACGGTGTGAAATCTATTACAATCGGACCTATACTTTTGGCAAAAACTTAGGCAGAAGTTTATATGTATTTCCCTATGCTGAAATATACTTTAGCTCACCCTTAAAATGATGAAGAGCGTATGTATATTGTGGTTATCTGGTTTCTTAACAAATTCTGTGCTAAACTCATTTTAGATTTTAACTCTACTTTGTGCAGACTAACCAGGTATAATTATCCCAACAGGACAGGTAGATGATTCGTAAAGAAAAACAAAGAATATTTTTGAGTATTTGGGTTAAAAATAATTGCAAAAAGTAATTGTAAAATGACCGAATTACTCAAAGAAAGTAATTAACACTTAAAAATTTAGAATAAGAGAATTTCTTTCTCAATTAGATTCCATAATTTTTTAAATTTACTTTATTATTATTAGCATATTAGTAACTACATGGTGAAATATTTCATTTTATGGTAACAACTAAGATCACACGCTTCACCTATTGGGTAATACTTGGATCAGTTTTATTGTTAATTATACATTAGAATTTAATTAGTTAATTCTGGAGTAGACTTTGCTTAGGGCAGTGCTGCTACCGCCGTTACACTAGAATACCATTTGCTAAGAAACCTAGTTCTTCTAAACTATATTGCAACCATCGCAGACAAACTCAACGGAAGCACAAATCTTAATTTTAAAAATACTAACAGTAATATTTTCATGCTCACTTTGAGTAACATATGCATAATTATCAGGTATTTACTCATTAAAGCATTTACATTCCTGCAAAAATTGGTTCAAATTATCATAAAAATTAGTCATAGCATGTTATACTTTCCTTTCGCCGAAATGCAGACGATATTCTACAGTAATTATCACTTTCAACTAGCAACAAGCACATGTCACACATGTAATTCCTCGTGAGATAATAATGTTATTTTGTTTATTTTATACTTTTTATACATAACTTTTTTCTTAAGAATAAAACCGAACAAACCAGTTTTCTTTGAAAATTCTACACTGACCGATTAAAATTCGTTCTTCTTTACTTTCATCCCAAATGCACTTTCATTAATTAGTAAACAAATATCTGTTTCGACTAATAAATAATTTTGCAAAACTAAATACATATCATTCACGTGAGAAATTTTCCAGATTTTCAGTGCAAAGAGTGTTACAGTGTATAAATAAAAAAGTAGAGTTAGTACATTAATCTCACACCGACAGTTTTAATACATTGCATAAGATGCACTTACTTTTTTTCGATTTAAAGGAAGTACTTAACACCATTAGCAAAATAATAATGTGTTCTGCATCCGTAACCGCACACTAACATAATTCTCTACTTTTAAATTTGCGCGTAATATACAAAAGCAAAAGAAATAAATACAACAACATAACAATTTTCCGCTTATAACAAGCAACAATTACCTCTAAAGAAGTGGTCGAAAAAATCCAAAATCCGTGTTTGCTGGAAAACTAACTATACAATTCTTCACTCACTGCGAAATCTTCTTAACTTGACGCACTATTCAAGTTGAAGACTACACACTTCCAGTCGCTATCGGCGAACTGGTGATGACAGTTGTTGTATATCAAAGTCCGAGAAGACTTCTTGTGCAGTGGGGTCCCCTACCAAAGAAAAACGGCACGCGCCACTGACCAAAAGCATACCCACGCAGACCGTTCGCCGAAATTTTAAATAAAAGACTTTCACACTTGCCGATTCGCTTTTCTCAGTCAAAATATGGCGAGAGACGGTTAGAAATCGGGGAGGAAAAGAGTTGCTCTCAAACTATTATAATAATTAAGTCCCTATTGAATAGCTTCAACAAGTGAAATTGCTGTCTTGCTGCAATCCATCTGTTCGCAGGTGTATGAAAGTGCATTACTGTTTTGAAATTAAGGGAGAATCGCCTACGATGTACCACTTTTGATGGTTTCGCTCGTAAATCATTAGCTTCTTGGTTTCTTTGCTGCTGTAAAAATTTGTGATTGATTGCATGTTATTAAAAATTAAATAAGGGTACGGTTTATCTTACGTCAAGACAAAATTGATAGAAATGTTATTTAAATGAAATCGATTTTTAAATACGATTTTTGCAGTTGGCTACATATACCAGAGCTCTCGCTTTTTTTAAATTTCAGTTTAGAAATTGTTTCCTTAAATATATTAATGTTACATTTATCGCCCCCATAAGTCTATCTAATTATGTATTTATGTAAAAATTTCTCTTTGCTTTTTCGTCTATCACGGCGTTAATTATTAATATATGGCAATCTGTAGAAACCACGCTCGTTAGATATTTTGTGTTTTTGTCCCTAGAGTCCACGTGTTTTTAACAGAATGAAGTTGATTTTTTTAGGAATTTTGTTATACGTAACAAAAATACCTACTTACAGTTTTAACGTTATGTTGCTAAGTTACAATTGTTTATTTTAAAAAATTATTGATGTAAATTTTAAAAAAATGGTCGAAGGTTATTTTGACAGAATTTCCCTCCCAAAATTTTGGCATGACGTGATTAATTTCTTGGAAGGGGTAAATAGATATATGATAATTAAAAATTCACCATTTAATCAATAAAATAAATTGCGTCATTAATTAATTTTCTGAGAGATCCTGTATAAGAAATTTTGACGAATATGCATGCATTGATAAACCATTATATTTTGCACATTTTAGATATGATTTATTTGTCAAAATTTTGAAATGACGTCATCAAATAAAAATATAATTTGATTAAAAATTTACCATGCTTACAATAATTTTGGCGTCTCTTCAAGATTTCAAAACGTTCGGTTTTGCGGATTCAAAATTAAATTGCAATATGTTGTTATACAATTTTGATTTTTTTTTCCAAAAATCAGGAAGTCTCCAGTGAAAATTCAACATGAATTCAATACACTTCTAGAATTACGTTGTTTAATACAATTTAGAACCCATTTACCATATACAATTTTGATGTGATGTCATCACCTTGTTGGTGGGGGTGACTAGACAGAATAGCATTTTACCACGACTATATTCATAACACACATGTAAAATTTGATAGAAATCGGTCCGATAGTTTTGGAGATGTTTAACAAAAATCGACACAGATGGCGGACAGACAGACCGAAACGGCACATCTATTTTTTCGTACTCTAGGCGTCACACATCGAGAAAATTTGGAGTGGCCAGTCGCCCAATGGACTCGATTATAATCTTCTTTAGCTTACACTCTGGAAGTAAAAATCTGCTCAATTGGAATTAGTTAAGTGTATTCTGTTAAACCAATTTTACATTGTGTTTGATGGTTGGTTTAGTTATTAAACATTTTTTTGTTTTAATTATAATAACTTGTAAATGTTATTATTACATCATTTCTACTTTATGTTCTTTCGTTAAATGGAAGTTTATTTTATAATAAAACTTTGAAATTTTTACTTTCCGAGTGTAAGGAAGTATAGTAGTCGAGTCCATCGGACGAATGGCCACTTTTATATTTTCTCGACGTTTCATGACCCCTACAGGACGAAAAAGTAGTCTCCCGTTTCGCTCCGTCTGTCTGCCTGTCTGTCTGTCTAGTGTCTGTGTCCATTTTTATTAGACACGTAATCACCGAAATTTCTAGACCGATTATTGTCAAATTTTGTATATATATTAGAAATATCATATAGATGATTGAATGCTAACCAAAATTTTGTTAATCGTCCCCACCAACAATTTGATGACGTCATTTTAATGAATTATATTTTAAAATGTTTTAATGTTATACAAAAATATACTCCTGTACTTATAGTGTACGAATCAGCTTTCAGTTTTTTACTTTCAAATTTTCCCAAAAACTGTTATTATAGTTATAATATTCATAACATTTTGTTCGATTGTGGTTTAATTAATAATTTTATCTTACAGAAAGTAGTAGATTTTGGGGTAGTTTATGCAACTGTTTTACGACACAAAAATTCAACATTATTAACAAGTGAAGTAAAGTACTCAAAAGTGATGCAAGGTAATGTACCTATGGATACTAGGATACTACTACGATTTTTTAGGATAATTTTACGTAAAAGCTGCTACTGTAAGATAAAACGTCGTATATTATACGTGAGAAAAATTTCATTATAAGCTCGTGAGAGCAGTATCACTCACGCTAACGCGCTCATGACCCTACATTCTTACTCGCTTATAATATAAAAATAAAAATAAAATAAATAAAATAAATGAAATAAATGAAATAAATGAAATAAATGAAATACATGAAATAAATGAAATAAATGAAATAAATGAAATAAATGAAATAAATGAAATAAATGAAATAAATGAACTAAATGAAATAAATAAAATAAATATAATAAATAAAAAATACTATTAGTCTTTAGATGACATAAATAAACACTAAGCTTCAGATTGCCATTACCTGGTGCTGAAGGACAGGGGGTGTTATTTATGCCTATACTTTACAGCGGTTATCACAAAACGAAAATCGTAAAATCAAATTTTACATATTTTTTTAAAGAGCTGGATTTGCCGGATTATACTTATATAATCTTCGACAAATTCTTTATTGGTCAAAAAAAACTTCGTTTTCTAGACAATGTGAGAATACCCCCGTCTTTGTTTAATTATGATCAAATAATAATAATAATAATCATATTCAAAGCAGGAGCAACTCATTCAAATTAAACATATTTCTGCGTGACATTCTTTTGATGTATAAACATAAACAATCGAAGTTGAGCATTGCCCGTATATCTGCGGACGGCACCTCCTTGGAATTTGTCATTTACACGACTGGTTTTATACTATATAAAGGTTATTAGAAAACAACATTTTTGTGTAATTTTTCAAAGAAGCGGAATTCATTAGACTGTACTTCAAAGGCGAGGGAAGTTCTGTTGAAGTAATCGTGGACTAATTTTTACTTCCCGAGCCTAAGCAAAGGAAGTATTGTAATCGAGTCCGTCGGCCGACTCTCTACTTTTACGTTTTCTCGATCTTTCATGACCTCTAGAAGACGAAGAAATGGGTCTTCCATTTCCGTCTGTCTGTCCGTCTATCCGTCTATCCGTCTGTCCGTCTGTCTGATGGTAAAACGCTAACCAAAATTTGTCTAATCATCCCCACCACTAATGCGATGACATCACTTCAAAATTGTATATAGTAAATGAGTTTTAAATAGTATAAAATAACATAGTCCTACATATGTAGTTTACGACTCCGAATTGAGTTTTTACCCGAAAAGTCCAGATTTTTGGAAAAAAAATCAGAATTATTAAACAACATTTTGCAATTTAATTTTGAATCTGCTAACCCGAATGCTTTGAAATGTTGCAGATGTTTTAAGGCTATAAAGAGTACCATAAATCTTTAGTCAAAATATATTTGGTTATCCCCTCCAAAAACTTGATGACGTCAGCTCAAAAGTTTGCCGAATAAATCCGATCTAAAATGTACAAAATATGATTAGTCTGTACCTGTGATCTATCACTCCATTCATATTTTTTCGATTTGCGTATACAGGGTGACCCAAAAAAATTAATGATAGCGTGAATTTATTTTATTTAGTTAATCAGGAACTACAAAACCGAATGCTTTGAAATCTTGCAGATGTTTTAAGGTTATAAAAAGCATAATAAATGTTCAGTCAAAATATATTTGCTTATCCCCTCCAAAAAATTGATGACGTCAGCTCGAAACTTTGCGGAATAAATCCTATCTAAGTCTGTACTTGTGATTTATCACTCCATTCATATTTTTTGGATTTGCATATACAGGGTGACTCAATTGATTTACTCAGGAACTACAAAACCGAATGCTTTGAAATCTACTGCGAAAAAAAACATAATAGGCATGCAGTCGTCACGTTTCCGACAGCGAGGGAAGTACTGTCTAAAGTCTTTAGACCAATTTTTTTATTTTGTATTTAGATCATCGTCTGCAGTCAGTTTTTTCAAATTATGATTGACATTAATTAGGTTGTCTTTTTTTGGAAACTGATATTATAACTGTCAGGCATCCAAAAAATGTTCATAATATGATAGATATAAGGTGATTAATTTTTGGAGATCTAATGATCAACTAAGAATTTAAAAAAAAATGTTGTGTTGTTTGCTTTTAATAAGTTAACAAGGACTATACTTTGAGCTGTATAATTTAATTTAGAAAATACATATGAATATAAAAACTATTTTCCAAAAAGCATAAGCAAATAGTAATAAAATTAAACATTAAATGCATGTAAGGTATATCACTATATGTATAATATACAATATAATATTAATGTGTAGGTAAAAGTGTTTGTCCTGGTTGACAAAATGACGCAAAGTCTATACTACTGAAGCTAGTAACATGAAATTTGGCCAGTAGGTTCCTTTTGTAATCTAAGCCCACTAAGACTTTATTTTTGGAAATTTCACGTCTATGGGGATGAACATGTGTAAGTTTGCATGGCAGTTTTTCAGTTTTTAAATTGGATGATTTCATTAGGGGGAGGAGGTGAGTGAACAAGGTGAAAAATCATGTGTACTATTAAAACAACGTTACTACTACCTGAATTTCGAGAAAATGAGCAAGTTCTTCTGAATACTC